GGCACCGCTCCCCGGGCACGGACTGGCTGCCAATTGCTGGGAGATGGGTAAGTGACAGCAGAGCCGGAATCAGCTGTCCGGTCATAAGGGTTGGGGTTTGGGTTTGTTTTGGGTTCGGCTTTTTTTTTTTTTTTTTTTTTTTTTTGGGGGGGGGGGGGGGGAGGGGTTGAACAACTTCCCTTTTCACCTTCCTTCCGAGCCCTCAGATCTGGAGGTTTCCTCTCTCTTACAACTGGGGTCTCGCCGCATAGTGGGACCCCGCGGAGGATATGGTGAGAAGAAACAGAGGCAACATGCGCCCTACATGTAGAAAAGGAGAAGAGGGCCGGTTAGCGTATCCCTCCGTGTTTGTACAACGAAAATGTGATCGCTAGTCTATATATTATATAAAACCCTAGAGAGCAGAGCAGTCAAACATCACTTCCACCGGAAAACCCCACTCGCTAGCACTTCCCTGTTTCAATCTCACTTTCTCCTGCTTTGCCTGTGGATGGACAAATCCCTGTTTAGAACCGATGCCTCTTCCTCGGGGATATCAGCAAAAATACCTGCGCGGGGGCTGGGAATGGGCCCTGCTCCTGCCTCACCTATGGAGGAGCAAAGCACAGCGGCAGCGCCGGAGCTCCGCGGCGAAAACTCCGCTCCCTGCGGAACTCTGCGGCGCTTGGCGTTAAGATTAAAGGGGGAGAGGGAGGGAAAGAAAGAAGAGAGATTATCTTCCCCCCCAAATGCAGTGAGCTTCAGGGCAGAATAATAAAGCTGTCTCAATAAATAAAGTGCCTGTGTCTGTCAGTAGCTGGTTTATTTGCGTTTTTTGCCTGGTTTGTTTATACTAGTGCCCCCTCTCTCTTGGGTGTCTTTACAGCTCAACAAGCAGGTATTTATCTCCAGTTCCAACCCTGAGTTCTCAGAGAGACCAAACTTTAAGGTTATTAAAATTTCAATCATATTTATTTATTGCAGAAAAATAATATACAATGATATTTACAAAACAATCATAAAAATAAGAATGCATTTAGACACCGGATCTATTTGCATTTTAACATGGGTCATCAATAAATAAATAAAATGTTTATTTTTTTTTTCTCAGAGGAAAAATAATAATAATAAAAAAGTTAGGAACCGGGTATATAACGGCTTGAGCCCAGCTTATTCCCCCCTAAAAAAAAAAAAAAAAAAAAAAAAAAAAAAAAAAAGGTTTTCATCTCTACAGGGATATTTTTTGGTTGGTTGGTTGGTTTCATTCAAGAATGAAGAAAGTCCACAATAATGTATTTCCTTTCATCAGTGGCTCATAGGCACGACCTCTTGGGAATGCATGCAAAAAAAAAAAAAAGGCAAATTAAAAAAAAAAAAAGTTAAATTCCAACATTCTTCGTCAAAATTAAAAAAAAAAAAAAAAATCGAGCGATTCAGACTTCTATCAGAATGCAGAGATGTGTGGATTGTACCGACGCCCAAAGGGTAGTCACTGTCCAAAGCCCTTGTCTCTTTCTTTCCTTAAGTGCTCCCCACGCCCTGCTTTGAATTTGGATTTTGCTCTTCTAATTTCCAAGAAATCCTTGGTACATTTTGTTTTTAGACAAGACCAAAAAAATCGTATCCAACTTCAGAGTCTCTAGATTGTCCATTTTCTCCTTCTGTGGGAACAATGTCATCTGCAAAAACCCAGAGAGGGCGGAAAACTCGTTACTGAAATGCAAGATACACGTACATCTACCTAGACCTCTCTGTCTCTGGAAATGCACCTCTGGGGCAGGAGCAGCGTGGGGACACACGCGTGCCGAGGCCGTGCCGTGACCGGGTGACACCCCGGCCCGGCAGCCAAGGGTGTCAGAGCCGAGGGACGGGGGCTGCCGGGGCGATAGGAAACGCTCGTGGGGAAGCACGCAGGCGGACACGGATTCACTTCAAAATACTAGCGGCGGCGGCAGCAGCAGCAGCAGCAGGAACCATCCCAGCAGCCCCGCTGGCTCCGCAGCGTTTGGTGAAAAAAGTGATCTCAGGCCGGCCCCATCTGGCCGGGGCACACCCGCCCCGCCGCCGCCTCCCCGCCCGCAGCCCACCCCCGCCGGCCGCCGGCAGCGCCCCGCCACGCGTGGGCCCCGCGGGGCCCGGGGGCGCACCTCGGGCCGCGCAGGTCGGGAGGGATGCGCCTTGGCGGGGGGGAGTTGGGGTGTGGGGGGGCGGGGGAGCGCCTCCAGCCGCCCGGCTCTCCGGCCGGCCCTGGAAGCCAGGCCCTGCAGGACGGGGAGGGCCTCTCTCGCCCCACGGCCACGGGTGCCCGGCCCGCGGCGCAGCCGGCGGCCCCTTCAGCGTCACCTCCAACCCCCTCCCCCCCACACACACACACCCCGGTTTCGGGGTCCCTGCCTTACCTAGGGCTCCTGCCGGGGGGATGCGAGTGGGGGACGCCGCCTGCTAGTGGGATGCGGACATGGACCAGGCGCCCTCCATTCTCCAGACCGAGAAGGCGTAGCTGAGCCGCTCGTGGGCCACATAGCTGCAGCTTGCCATCTTGGAGTCCAGCTCGTCGCTCTGTAAGACCTGGTAGAGGAAGTCGATGTACCTGGCCGCCAGCTTGAGGGTCTGGATCTTGCTCAGCTTGTCCGAGGGCAGCGTGGGGATGATCTTCCGCAGGGCGGCGAAGGCTTCGTTCAGCGACTGCGTGCGCTGCCTCTCCCGCACGTTGGCCATGACCCGCTGGGTCTGCAGCTCCTCGTAGGACTGGGGGCTGCCGCCGCCGCTGCTGCTGCCGCCGCCGCCGCCGCCGCCCCCCCCGCCCGCCCCGCACTTCTTGCCCCGCTTGCCTTGGGCCGGGCTGCAGGGCTCGTCCGCGGCCCCGACGGCCCCGCCGGCGTTGCGGCGGCTGGAGCGCCGCTTGCGCCCCCCTCTCTTGTTGTTGGGCAGCTGCTGCCGGTCCGGCTCCTCTTCGCTGTTGCTCAAGCTGTCGTCGGCGGGGGAGACTGGCGAGTTTGACTCGTCCTGCTGCATCATCTCTGGGGGGGAGACGCGAGAAGCGGGCCGGGAGGGGGGGGAGGGCAGGGAGAAGAGGGGGGCACCTAACCCGCCAGCTCCCCCTTGGTCGGCTGCTTCGCTGGCCTGCGAGGAGAAGGAGGAGGAGGAGGGAGGGAGGGAGGGAGGACCTCACTTTGGGGGGAGGGGGGATGGCATCAGGATCCAAGAGGAAAAAAAAAAAAAAAAAAAAAAAAAAAAGAAACCAAAAACGCCAACCAGAAAAAAAAAAAAGAAAAAAATCCCTCCCGATCCCTCCTTGGAGCCCCTTCGAGGTGTCTGGGATTGGGAGAAAGTTGAAGACTTGGAGGTTCTTATAGCTCCTGCTGGCGGAAAGTTTGGGGGCAGCAGTGTCATTGGCCTGACGTGGAGAGGAGGGACTTTTGCTGAGTTTTATAGGAAAGTTTCCGCTTCCCCCCCTCCACGCCCTCCCCCAATTATTTTTTTTCAGGCCATTCACAAGTGATCTGGCCTCCCCGCTCCGCACACACATACATCCTTGCCCCAACCTTTTTCTCGTCTTCCCTCTCCGCGGTTTCTCCCTCAGGCTCCTTCGGTTCGCGCTCGGCTTTGGGCTGGTGCTGGCGGGCCGGGCCGGGAGGTTATGGGGGTGCCCGTGCACCCCCCTGCGCTGCTGCGGAGGGGACACGCGGGCCGCTTAGTGCCCGCGCTGGGGGGAGGCTGGCCCGGAGCAGCCGGGGGGCAGCCCGCATCTCCCGGGCTTTCCCCGCCGCAGAGGGCACGGCTTCCAGAGAAAGGGAGGAAGGGGAAATTACCCGCGGGGCAGCATCCAGGCACATCCTAATTCTGTCCCGCTCTCGCACGCACCGCGCTCCCATCACCGAGCGCCCCCGGGGTCCGGCTTTCCGAGGGAGCCGCACATTTCTGGGCTGGGGAGGGGGGATGACACAGCCTTGTCCTGTCGGGCTGGAGGAATGAGCTCGGAGAAAGCCGTCTTCAGAGGTGGAAGCAGCGGGGAAACTAAGCACCGGCTTTGTACATACTCACCAGTTCCTTGAGCTCGTCTTAAGAGAAACCCGGGAGGATCCGCGCCCCTGGAGCCCCCAACCTGGCATACCGGGAGGCGGGAGGGTGTGCAGACTCTCTCTGCTTACACTCTGTGCCTGCTGAGAGCTCACTTCAATTCGCCCTCCCTGAAGGCGCCCGAGTCCGGCACTTCCTGGGAGCCGAGCTTATTTATTTGAAATTCTGTTTCATGTTTGCAGCGAAAGCTATTTCTCCCCATCCCCCGCCTTCGTGCCTCCCTCCCCGCTCGCTGGCAGCACGGAGCAGGTGGTGTGTCTTTTTAACAACAGCTCAGATTCAAACCGGGAACGCCTGGGAGGGAAAGTTAGAAATTGCCATCCGTTAATAAACGGGGGCGACGCTGCTCCCTGCGAGGGGACCGCTGCCGGCCCGGGGGGACCCTCAGGCGGGGCAGCGTCGGGCGTGAGTGGGGCAGCATCGCGCCCCCCCCCGGCTGTGCTTGGGGTGGGAGGGCGGAGAGGGCGGACGAAACAGCAGAGGAGCGATAAATCCCAGGGGACGAAAAAGACGAGGCTTCTGGAAGAGCGCTGTCATCTGCTCCGGGGAGAAGAGCTGTCTCTCCCCTCTGCCTGGGGGTTCCGTGTCCTCCGGGTAGCCGCCTCCCACCCCGGGCGCTGCGGGGGGCCAGGACCCTCCGAGGGGCAGCGGGCCTGGCTCGGCGCGGCCGATGGCCCCCGCTCCCCCCCGCAGCGCCCGCCCGGCACCCGGGTGCAGCAAGAGCTGCTCCGCCGCCCCTCCGCTGCCCCCCCGGGTGAGCTTTCCTCCTTGGCTCTTCCATCAAGCCATGCGAGCAAATAGCAGCCTGACCTAAACCTTCTCTTTTGGGAGACAGACTGAAACAGGACCAGGGGGGAGGAAACTGAGGACTTACCCAGCGAGGGAAGGCACGCCAGCACACAGACCCACAGCGAGCAAGCGCAGCTACCCTGGATTTTGGCTTGTCCGTTCTGTGTCTGCTGTGACCCACAGACCGCTTCACTCACCTGGACACCACGGCTCATCTGGGGAGCTTCGGGGGTTCCCTGTGTTGGCAGCAGCTGTTGCCTCCAAGGTAAGAAGAGCTGGCTCTCCCTCCACCTCCCTTTCATGAATAATTTTGCCCAGTGCTCGTCTGGGGTGTTGAGCAGTGTCATTACAGAGCAAAGGCTGGAAACAGGGGTGGTGAGCATCTGTAAGCAGCTCTGGGGGCTTTCCTTCCTTCCCTCCTTCCCTCCTTCCCTCCTTCTCCCCTTCCCTCCTTCCCCCCTTCCCTCCTTCCCCCCTTCCCCCCTTCCCTCCTTCCCCCTTCCCTCCTTCCCCCGTTCCTTCCCCCGTTCCTTCCCCCCTTCCTTCCCCCCTTCCTTTCCCCCTTCCCCCCTTCCCCCCTTCCCTCCCTCCTTCCTTCCTTCCTTCCTTCCTTCCTTCCTTCCTTCCTTCCTTCCTTCCTTCCTTCCTTCCTTCCTTCCTTCCTTCCTTCCTTCCTTCCTTCCTTCCTTCCTTCCTTCCTTCCTTCCTTCCTTCCTTCCTTCCTTCCTTCCTTCCTTCCTTCCTTCCTTCCTTCCTTCCTTCCTTCCTTCCTTCCTTCCTTCCTTCCTTCCTTCCTTCCTTCCTTCCTTCCTTCCTTCCTTCCTTCCTTCCTTCCTTCCTTCCTTCCTTCCTTCCTTCCTTCCTTCCTTCCTTCCTTCCTTCCTTCCTTCCTTCCTTCCTTCCTTCCTTCCTTCCTTCCTTCCTTCCTTCCTTCCTTCCTTCCTTCCTTCCTTCCTTCCTTCCTTCCTTCCTTCCTTCCTTCCTTCCTTCCTTCCTTCCTTCCTTCCTTCCTTCCTTCCCTCCTTCCCTCCTTCCCTCCTTCCCTCCTTCCCTCCTTCCCTCCTTCCCTCCTTCCCTCCTTCCCTCCTTCTCCTCTCTCCCATTCTTCTTATGGAAAAAGCATCAAAGTGCAGAAACAAACCAGGGTAACCATTACCTTGCTGGACAGGACACTGTGGCCATGCCTGGATGGTGTCACCCCACAACAGCACAATCAATGGAAGTGATCCACTGCTTGAAAGAAGGAAGGAACAGTGTCTCCTGAGGTGCTCTGGCCAGTGATACGTCTTGTCTGGGTCAGCTGAACTTTGAGTGGGACACAGGACATCACCTGCTTGCCATGAGGCAGAGGAGGGTGTGCAGAGAAGAGTGTGTGGGAGAGGCAAGGACAGCGGTATGTGGTTCAGAAAACCAGAAAACACAGAGAAATCTAGGGTGGGGTTGACCCTGAGGAGAGAGGAGAGGTGTTGACTATGGTAGATGGTTGGGTTTAGGATTAGTTACTCTTCATGGAAACTGCACCAAAAGCAGCCATCAGTAGTTAGCAGAACATGTGTGGTGCTGCCTGGGGCCTGCACACTGCTGTATGAGCCATGACTACGCAGAAAACCCCAACATTTTAATTTTGGTTTTCAATTTGTCTTCAACTCACAACTCATGTGCTTCGAATCAAAGGAAACTAAGCCCATGCTGTTACTGCCAAGGCCCATCACAGGAGTGCAGGGGCCAGGCGGGCTGTGCTGGGAGCCATCTGGCACTGGGCTGGCGGTGGGACCCCATTTGGATCCCCCAGGCCTGCTGGTGGGCAGCAGCCCTGTCTTGTGCTGGGGTGCAGAGGTGTGGCTGGAGGAGGGTGGATATGTCAGAGAGTCATGTCTGGGGATCTGTGTGAGAGAGAAAGACCTACTGGTGTGATTATGTGTGAGGTGTGTTTCTGTGTGTGTGCATGTACAGTTGGCCTTTGCAGTGTGCGTGCATATGTGTGTGTTGGGAGGGAAGGGGAGCAGGGACTTTGCAGAGTTTAAAGAAAAACAATTCAACTCTGGTTTATTTTGAAGTATAGAGTTCTGGTGGGGCTGGAGGTGGAGGGTTTGTATTCCACACTAAACCAGTAATCAGCGTGTAGTTTATATAGTGTTAAACCATCTTTTTTGAACCTCCAAAAGCTACTAAGGAAGACCCACAGACCTCTCTGGAGCATGCGATGAAGGATGCCATGTCCTGTTCTCTGCTGAGCACAGACATGGCTTGGGTGAGGGTTCCCCTGCCTCCTTGGGCAGGCTTATCAACCCTGCTTCACTCTCTGGAGGTGGCAAGCAAAGCTACAGACAGCTCCAGGGCCTTTCCAGGGATATTTCCAGGTCCATTCCTGCAGGCTTCCCTGGGCCTCAGCTCAGGAAAATGTATGCTGTGGGATCAGCCCTTACATGGAGCACTGTCAGGGCATAGAGAACTCCAGCATGTTGTCATCTGTGCAGTAATGTATAATAACACTGGTAAAGTAACCACATAGATTACAGGTGTGGGTGTGAACATGGAGCTAAATAAAAGACAAGTGCCTAGGAAGATGAAATGAGGAATAAGCTTACTGGAATGACAGAACAAGTTGGGCTGTGATGATCATTGTGGTCACGGCTGATCACAGGCAAACAGCTGGAAAGGATCCCCCCAATTATAGGTCCTTGTGTAGGCACCCATCAGCTACTGAGACACTCTCAGGCTGGGACAAGCAGGGTCTGCCCCAGCCAGGCAGAAACATCAGCTTTTGGAGGAGCAGGCTGACAGTTTGATTCTTTCTTTGATTTTTGTTTAAGAATAAATGAAAGGTCTGATTTTGTCTGCCCATTTATAAATTGGCGCAGGAGTTTAAGAACTAATGCGCACAAGATCTGGTGGTTACAGCTACAACATTGCCCACCAATGTGTTATGTGCATACGCACAAATTACAACTGGGTTGCAATAGGCTGTTCAGTATTCCCCATACGGCATGCACATACACACATTGTAATTTAGCTCTCAAAGACTGTTCACTGTGGCAAAATACCAAACTCTCTCACTGGTGGGGTTTTCTTGGGATATTCAGCAATGTAACTATTATGTATGTGCACGCTTAGAGACAGGTTGCCTGAACATTTTTGATGCAGGAGTCTTCAGTATGGAGTTTCCCCAGAAGTTGTATCTTTTAAGACCTGTTTCAATTGAAATCACTGATAGTTTCCCCACTAATTTCCACAGGTATGTTAATTCCTACAGATGCTAGGTGAAAGCCCGACTGAGCCCTAATCCCTTCAAAAGGGACAAGAGAGTGCCCAGCAACTTTCCACACAGACATTTATGCTGTAATTTACTCCATGTCTGAAGCACACCAGTAGACGAGCTGCGAAGTCTTGCTCTGCCCTGCTACCAACTCGAGCAGAGCGACTGCACACGGACAGAAACAGATAAAGGATCTGAGAGCAGGACCCATTTTTGGCTTCTTTCTCCATCTTTTCTTTTTTTTCTTTCTTTCTTTCTTTCTTTCTTTCTTTCTTTCTTTCTTTCTTTCTTTCTTTCTTTCTTTCTTTCTTTCTTTCTTTCTTTCTTTCTTTCTTTCTTTCTTTCTTTCTTTCTTTCTTTCTTTCTTTCTTTCTTTCTTTCTTTCTTTCTTTCTTTCTTTCTTTCTTTCTTTCTTTCTTTCTTTCTTTCTTTCTTTCTTTCTTTCTTTCTTTCTTTCTTTCTTTCTTTCTTTCTTTCTTTCTTTCTTTCTTTCTTTCTTTCTTTCTTTCTTTCTTTCTTTCTTTCTTTCTTTCTTTCTTTCTTTCTTTCTTTCTTTCTTTCTTTCTTTCTTTCTTTCTTTCTTTCTTTCTTTCTTTCTTTCTTTCTTTCTTTCTTCTTTCTTTCTTTCTTTCTTTCTTTCTTTCTTTCTTTCTTTCTTTCTTTCTTTCTTTCTTTCTTTCTTTCTTTCTTTCTTTCTTTCTTTCTTTCTTTCTTTCTTTCTTTCTTTCTTTCTTTCTTTCTTTCTCTCTCTTTCTTTCTTTCTCTCTCTCTTTCTCTCTTTCTCTCTTTCTCTCTCTTTCTCTCTTTCTCTCTTTCTCTCTTCCTTTTCTTTCTTTTCTTTCTTTCTATCTTCCTTCCTTCCTTCCTTTCTTTCCGCCCTATCCACCGCCGCAGCTCACCCAGCCGCGGAGCCGGCCGGGCGGTGGAGCCCGGTTGCCCGGGGCTGGCGGGGCGGGCGGGCTGTGCGGCCGGCGGCCACCGGAGGGCACGATTCCCCGCCGGTCCCCTCTCGGCCGGCGGCGGGCACGGCTCCCAGGTGTGCCCCCCCCCCCCCCCCCCAACCCCCGGCGGGGCCAGGCCGGCGCCCTGCGCCAGCCCGAGCCCCTTCGGGCCGGGCCACCCCAGTTTCGCGGGGCTGAGGTGCCGCCCGCCCGCTCCCGTCTCTCTTTGCACAGATTCCTTCGAAGCCGACGCTTTTCAGCGAGCCACGAGCGGGGATTTTTCACGCCGCGGCTGGGGAGTGGGGAGAACCAGCACGCGGATCCCCCACGGGCGCTTCTCGCTGTTGTGCTTCCAGCCCACGGCGCTTTGCCACTGGCTTCGTCTGGGAGCTCCGGGAAGCGGAAGGACAGCACGGGAACCCTCCCAGGAATCGGTTTCGTTATCGAAATGACTACAGTGATTTTTTTTTTTTTTTTTTAGTTCATTTTCTAAGATCGTTGTGATGCGGTCGTTCATCTAAAAGTCCTAGCGGCTTGCTGGCACAGGAGGGGGTGAGTGGCTTTTTAAAAATCTCCCTGGAGGGCAGCCTCTTCCAGTGCTTCCAGCGCTGCCAGCCCCGCCCCGCACCCCAACCCCCCCCCCCCCCCCCAGCCTCCCGCCCCCCGCGGGGCCCCCCCCGGCGGCTGCATCCCCCCTTCTACCCAATTCTCGCCTCAGTGCAAGGCCAAGAAATACCGACGTCCCGTTATCAAACTAGCGATCCCACAGGGGAGACAGGTGTCCTAATAAATTAAGATCTGAAATGATTCGCGACACGGGTTTTAGTATAACATCTTCTATTTATAGATGTTTTGTTCGGCTTCAGAAACAGTTCGTGGCAGTGGATGGAGCTTTTTAAGCAGAGCATGTGTACCTTGGGGGAAGCCTGAATGGTATCCTCTCCTCTGCCCCAGAGAATGCCAGTCCTTCCCATCACAAGAGCACAACATATCTAACGTTGTGGTGGAGCTCTGCCCCTAATTGTGGTGCTGGGTCTTGTTTATGTGGTTTCATGTCTAAATCTGAAAAGACTGCTTAGTAAAACAAGCTTATCTACACTCCAGGGGACAATAGTTACTTATATTAATAATGGGGCTTATTTGCTATTTCAGCTCCTTTGATTTTTTTTTTTTTTTTTTTTGCTTTTCCATCTCTTCCATCTTTCCTGAACTATGTAAATATATCTTTTTTTGTATTCTTCCTGCTCCCACACATTACTCAAATCTATATATTCAATCTTTCAGTGCACTTGGCCCATGGAAACTCCATAAAACTTCAGGCCTTTTTAGCCACAAACTCTGCTTTTTCTTCCAAGGTGTGGGAGGGTGCACCTCGGGCACAGATGATGAATAAAGCATTCCACAAACCTTCTTCTTGGGGGTGGACTCCAACTGTCTCTGCAGCTCATGCAGTTTGAGTCAGAGTCCTAGAGACAGAATTCCAGCATGGAAGTGGGCTTTACCTGTCAGCCATTCCTGCACCCTGGGGAAAACCCCCCTGGGCATCCTACTCAGTGTGGTCTCCTTTAGACCTACAGTTGCTCTTGGGATCTCACAGACGAAGATGAAAAGAGGGTCATGTAAGAAACAACCATGACTCCCACGAGCCCCATGGGGGTTCATTAGACAGGGTAATAGGCTCCCCTTTACCTCTGAGGCGTCAGAAAAGCCTGGTGTGAGGGAAAGGGCCTGGAAAGTTGTCCTAACATACACATATACTCTCCTAGGCAGATGGAAATGTTTTTTTGATTGGTAGCCTGATTGAATGCCAGGTTTGCGAGTTGGAACCACCTCCTCCTCCTCCCTCCCCGAGACCACACAGGGGCTCACTATAGCCACGCAGAGGAGAGGGGCCTGGAGGGGAAAGGTGCACAGAAATGAGCACCCATCTCATTCTTTCCACAGTTACTTCTAAGGACACCTACTTAGAGCTAAGATAACTTCTGAGAGTTCGGAGCTTTATTTCCATCTCTGCCAGGTTGTATTTCCTTTCAGAAAAGGCAGCCAGAGTGGAATCAAAGTTTACGTATCTCTTTCTAAGTGGGGAGGTTATAATTATTTGGTGCTATGGGCTATCAGCTATGATGCCTAAAGATCTAATGTACAATATTACCCCTCATTTTACAGCCCAAATTTCCTTTGCCTGCCTCTAGAATAGAGGATGATGATAAGGCAGGGCACCTTGCTTACTAGATACTGATCTGTTCATAGGTCCACACCCTGGTTTTCTGACCAAAGGTCATATAGTAGGTCACACAATGAAGCTGATATAGAGCACAAATCTTGGTTACCAAACTCCAAGGACAGTTTTCCAGAAGAAGCATTAGTTTGTTAATATGTTGAAGTACATTAACAGACATTCACTCTTCATGTATGTATGCATGTATGTGTCTATCTACGTACTCTGACCTCCAGACAGGCATCTGTATTTATATTTATGCTGTATTGTAAAATACCATACTGCTTCTGCTTCTGTCTTGAAACATATCTGTATCAAGCATATTCTCATGCCAAAATCCACTATCTGACCTTGCAGCACTAAAAATAGTTCATGTCAGAAGCAGAGAAATATTCATTTCTCATTTTAGAACATTTGTGCTTGCATTCATTAAGGACAGGGTCCAAAATCCTTTGATGTCAAGGGGAGTGTTTCAGTGGGCTTTGGATCAAGCCCTAAAAAGAGTCAATTAAACTGGAAATAAAATAAAAATGAAAACAGGTCCAGCCTGAGAGTTTTGCTGAATAAAAAGGAATATTTAAGAGAGGCTGCCTTTGGAGTAAAGGGTCAGTCATTGTTTCTTAATATTTAATTGAATTTGTGGAATTTTCCATGATTAAAAAATAATCATTTGCATTAAGTTGGGTTGTTTTTTTTTTTTTTTTCAGTCTTCAAAACATCCATATTTTTCTGCAAAGTAGAAATGTTGTTGACCTAGTAAGTACAAACTTGATTTGAGCTCAGTGGGCTGGACCCTAAGCGGTAAAATATGCCTCAGATTTTCAAAGTCAGAGCACAGACTTAATTTCAAAATACTCTCTTGACTCTAGAATTTGTTCAGGTACATGTCTCAATATTCAAGCAGTTTGTGAAATTTTCTAATGTCTGATCTAATGTTATTATTTGCTGTTACACAGTTTGTGAAAGGGCTAATGCAGCTCTTGACAGCAGATGTAATTAATTTAAAGGCAGAGGATATGCAGTGGAATATAGCAAGGGCTTTATTACAAAACAGTGAAGTTTACACCTTCAGTTGTTAATCCTTTTCTCTACAACAATACATACTATTTAAGAGCATACCTTTTAATAAAAAAGAAGGCAATATAAAAATAAACTACAGCCCCACAAAGTTTACTGCACTGCTTCCTTATAGTCATTGTGTCAGAGGTCTGGGTAGTTTGAATGACGTAAGTCTGCAGGAATTTTTGCCGAATGGAGATTATTTGACAGTAAAATGGTCATCATTCCTTTCAAAAAGATAGAAGTTTGATCAATTATATTGCAATGGCTTACAGCCATATTCTATCTACAGTGACATTTATGATCTATTTTGGTTATCCCCAAATGGCCTTCAACCTAGCTATTATCTGCCAACATGTTAAACTTTTGGTCAGTGGAAATCCTTTAGTGTCTTGGAAAAACTCAGGATGTTGTCTTCTGGCCAGATTCCATTATGGGTAACTACAACTTTATCTACATTCAATGTATGTAATTGAGTGGCTGTGGTATGGCACACTGTCATTTGGCTTAATTTCAATAAACTAAGATAATTTTCTGTATTTTCTTTCCTATAGCACTGTGTCATGTTGCTGTACAAAGTGAAACAGCTGCCACATTCTGCTTCTCGAAGACACATCCCAGAATGGGCTGTCTCTTCTGAGAGGACAACATAGCCTCCAACTTGGCAGGTAAAATTTTGCAACACCAAATCCTTCCATCTGTGGTTTCATGTTGTCAGTTCACTGCAGGAACTAATAGTCTGGTCTAGATGTCAAACTATCTGATTTGTTAGTGTAGCTGGCAGGTTAACTGTCTAAGTCTTACTATTTCCGCACAGAATTCACTATGGGTAGTAAATTTCATCCAAAAAAAGAAGAAAAATAACCATGTTTAAAGATTAGACGCACTCTGGGAAATTAAGTTCTTAATGCTAAATCAGATGTATAATAGGAGGTACCTAATAATTGCTCACATCAAGGGTAAAGGGTCAAGCCAAAGGCTTATAGACAGAAGGGAAAAAGGCAATACAGTCACTCAGCTATCACTACCAGAAACAGCCCTTCCCATTCTCACAGTTCTAATGTAGATCAGAAGCAAACTATACTGCTATAAAGAGACACAAGATGCTTTTTAACTCCTTGTGGCCATAGTAGCCATTGTATTTCTTCACGTATATCCCTCCCAAACTGTTCATTGAGTCAAAAAACATATTTGCACTGCTCACAGAGGGTAGAAAAATATTACATGACCAAAAGTTGCTGTTAAGCTTTGCTGAAGAGCATTTGAGAATGGTATCTGAAATTTGTGTTGGAATAGGTGCTACTGCAAGGGCATCAAAACTGAAGGGAATGGATTAGTGACACCCCAAGAGCAGCTGTGGCACCGCAGATGATGCAGGCAACATCACCCCATTTGCCATACTGATGCAGGAGAGCAGTGCTGTGTATGTACAGTGGAAAGAAACCACAGCAAATGTAGCTTGAGTTTTCCCTAGATTTTCACTGACTAGGAAACCTCCACGGTGCCGACAGCACTTCCACCACGCTGCTGCAAGGCAAACATTACCAATCTCCATGTAGCCTTCTTGTCATTTGAAAATGCGTCATTGGATGTTTTCAGGAGAAGAAGACTTTGAACATAAAGCCTTCTCTTTTCACCTCTGAGGTCATACTGCATCTTTGGGGTGATATTGGATGTTTCTGTGGTATGGAAGTGGTTCGGAAACCCTCTCAATAAATAATGCTAATGACCCGTAGCTGCATAAGAACTGTGTTTTGGGAGGGGAAATGGGGTTGAAGGAGGTGTCGTTAGACCTTTCCAATTTTCTATGCCACTCTCAGCTACCTAGTATGTCTTTTCAGTTTAGAGGCAAAAAGCACTGACCTTATAGTCCAAAATCCTCTCCAGTCAAAGCCTTGGCTTATACACTGGATCCTTCAAAGGATTTGGCCAATGGGACACTGAAGATTCATGCTTTTACTGATTTAAAGGAGAATTTGAGAAATCTCTGGTTGTTTTTTATGTTTGTATATTTTAAATATTACAAGTACCGTATGTTCTTATCATAGCTTTGATAGAACTCATTTCTCTCCAAGGGCAAACCTCATGCTATTAACATCATAGAACTTCCTCAGTGTAATGTGGTTCAGCCTACAGCTATGTCAGTTGTGATCTGAGAGGGGATACTGTAATCATTCAGTTCCTTGATGTGTGGAACGTGTAACTGTGAGAATTGACTTATTCTGTTGTCAACCCACATGTGATTGACAGCATAAAGTAATGGACACGTACATGTCTCTAAATTTAATACCTTGGGGCTGGTAAACGTGTTTTCAGCAATAGGACTTGAACTCCATCTTAACAAGGCTTGGTTTTGTAGTTCAAGCACAGTTATCAGCACTTCAGTGAAAGCTCCATTTGCTCATGATTAAAATTGAGATTCTGTATGTCAAGGAGGTCGCACCTGATGAGGACCTAAACTATCAGTTTAATCATATTTGGCAACATTCAAGATATCTGCAAAGAAAATTTAAACTGGCTCAGATGTAATCTGAAATGAATTCCACGCGTCTTCAAGTAAGGCAGGGAAAGATCTGAGATAGCCCTTCATTTCACAGTCTCTCAATCATCTTTTTCCATTTTTTTTTTTCTTCCCTGTCCATGACTATTATTCATCATCCTACAACTTCTCTTGCATCTGGTAGTTTGCAGAGTTATGAGAGTCAAGGATGCTGCAGAGTTATTGCAGTGTTCTGGCATATCATTAAAATATGATTAAAAATAGATTAAAACACCTTTCTGCATATTCATTTAATGCTTTTTAGTTTTTGTTTTATATGTGATAATATTAATAACAAAAATGTGAACTACTTAAAAGTGGAAGCACTCCCGAATGTCCCAGATGATATTGATGAGTCCTAAATCTCTGATTCAGCTCAAAGTTATTTAAGAATAATTTTTAAATTATTCCTCTACTTCAAAAATTTCCTGCCAATTCAATAGTTTAGTTATGTACATTATTCTAAAAAACTTCATAGGAGCTTAGATGGCCAAGATCAGGTCCAAGAGCACCTTGAAACATCTGAAACACTTCAGCATTTGGATAATTACATACTTTTGGGGCCAACCCACATTTCTCTTTGGAAAATGTTTCCCCTGCATGGCTGCAGACAACAGATGGATCGTATGATCTCTGCATTTGAAAAGATGGCATAATTCTGGCAGACTGTCAGTTAAGTGAAGGGGGCTGATTTCAGATCCTCATTAAGAAAATATACAACCACACAAAGTGGACTGAATGGCAGAATGTGATCACTGGCGCCAGCTTTAATAGAAAATGTAGCACACTGTTGCAACATGAAATCTGATGTGCTGTGGCTGGATGTAGCTCTACTGGGCTTTGCGTTCATTTTTCAAACAAATGTGTTTTAAAGGAGACATTCTTTGTATTGTGAGGGCCCTCCTTGCACCAGGAGAGAGAGGAGCAGAGCGGCGGGGAGGTAAAAGGTGAATTCAAAGGGCCACCAGCTCCAGGGTCAGGATGGGGCATCAAGGCTTTGTTGGATCTTCTCTTGCCAAAGTTTCTATGTATTGCCTGTGTATTTCTAACTGCTATTTGTGTTTCTAATTTCTCGTTGTATTTATTAGAGTGGGCTCTTTTTGCAACTGGCGTCTTACCCAGAAGCACCCCGTGGAGGCAGCATGGCCTCTCCCTGTTGCAGGGCTCTGGGAGCGAGGCCCGGTGCCTCCTTTGCACCCAAATTTTCACAGAGAAGCACCCTGCCAAGCACCCAAGAGCTTGAGTAGGAATCCCAGGGTACTGTAAAATGCAATATAATTTTCCAGCGACCCTGGGTACGAGCAGCAAGTGCACCGTAATCGCTACTCACAGCTCAAGAGAAAAGGGCTAGTGAAGCTGCACACCTTCACTTCACCATCAAAACCAAAAATAATGGCCATGGCTTCAGGTCACAACTTTCTGATGCCCTTTGTTTCAACAGTGAACTCCGAAAAATCAGGATCTTTATATGATATCTCATCTTGGTCACACAAAAAGTGAATGAACCTAAATCACTGGTTGTTTTGAAAGTCTTTGCTAAGTTACCTTTTATCCAGATCACAGACATCATCTATCCCACATGAACCAGAAATGTTCAAGCAGTGATAGTATTTGTTGTGGTGTATTTATTCCTGTATCATTTGTGCTCTAGTCACCACTTTTTCCTCTGATAACTGTAAGTTTCAAAGGTCAGAATTCATTAACAAAGTTAAAGACTGTATAATAAGTAAACAATGCTACGAAAAAAAAAAATAAATCAACATTTGAATTAATTTGTCCTCCATCTCTCGGTTCATTTATCTATGGTGAAGATGTTCCATGCACAGATTTCCTCTTTGCTGTGTAGAAAATCATAAAATGCACTACCTTCCCTTGAACCCATGTAAGAGCAAGACAAGATGGAACTGGAACTGGAAGTAACATGGACAATTATTATCTTTCTTCTGCTTTCAGAGCTAAAGAGAGGCAGTTAAACCAACAGGACGCTCTCTACCCCTCTTTTTGCAATTATGGCAGAGGTATGACAAAAGCATAAACAGATCTAGCATCTCAGGGTGCCTGATTACTTTGTTTTGAAATAAAGCTCCGTGTGACAATAGTGAAGCCTGTCCTGCACTACAATAACTCTGTGTGGGAACCATTCAAAATCCCTCAGTGTAGGAGGAGACGCTCTGAGTCACAGTTACAGCTCTGAAGCGTTTGAGAACACTGTAAGCCACACTAAAATAATACAATGCACACAACAATTTCAATACATTACAGCCCGTACAAGTGTATATTCATGTGAAAATTGACCATACAGAAGTAAAGCTTACAGGATTGCTCCCCTATTTTGACTTCTTTGTAGGAATTGGGAGTTCAGGTGTGTAGGGTTCACTGTACTAGACTGTGACTGGTGATCAGATGGCTGTGAAAAATTTCAGGAGCTTAAAATTTAGTGCCAACCAGACCACGGGTTACACTTGAAGCTAAGACAGAGAAGGAAAAAAGTAAAATCTGGATGAAATACGGGCACATTTTAAAAAAATACCTGAGATGCAGTTCTTAAAAAGCTAAATTTTTAAGGTAATTGCAGTTTAACATTTTTATTCGATCAATTATTTTATTCTGGGTATACTGCTGTGATGAATGTTCATTTTAATATCTGAAACAAGTATGCTTTTCAGAGAAAAGTTTAAGAGAAAATAATCTGAAATTACTATATTTAATAGCTATTTAGAAAAGACAGCAATTTTTACTGTACCACAAAAGCACTATAACCAGCATATCTATCCATCCTTGTAACTGTTCTGTTGTATAAGTAGTAGGAAAAGCTTGGCTGTCATTGTTGCAGATTGGTAGTATTCAGGCCTAGTAAAAACAGCAAAGTCTTATGAAAACAGGGACTCAGCATGCACAGCAGTCACATTTTAAGCCTTGGTATTTTGGCTAGTCTTAATTAAAAAAAAAAAAAAAAAAAAAGAGTCCAAGTTCATTGAAAGGACCAAAAGGGCTACATAGAAAATCTCTTTGAGAAGCATCACTGATCTGAAGGAGAATAAAAATAAATCCAAAACTCTTTTCCATCACTTTTGCCTAGTACCCTCACAACTTCAAAAACTAATTTATTTTAAAGTTTGAAAAAGGAAAAAAAAAAAAAGTGTTGTTGGACTAAGTCTTCACTTATCAAGTTTCATCCTGGAGGGAATTTTTATAGCTGAGTTATAAACCCTCCACACCAGAGTGTTTATAATGGAAACGCTGACAAATGCGATAATAAACACCAATCACGGGGCCGTAGTAGCTGGTCAGAATGTGGATGCAGGAGTTTGCAGTGCTATCATAATATTTTGTTCTGTTTCCAGCACTAATTTGCTTAAACCTGCTTTCAGGTTGAGCAGCTATAAAACAAGATCAGCCTGACTATAGATTGCAAAATCCTTTGATTATTTATACTTCTCTTAGAAAGCTTGGAAATGCCTCTCAAATATGAATTCATTTAGACTTATTCTTTGGTTTACATGTCTGAATACTAATTGTAATGCGATAGCTTCAAGGGAACTCAACTTTCTACCAAAAGGCAGCCTTCAGTGGGCAAGGAGAAGATAAACAAACCCGCCTCAGACCAGGATCTAAAAATGGGCTATGATCAAACAGCTCTAAGGCTTTAAAAACCCCCTTATTATCTTTTCCCAGAAGTAATTGACACTGTCAGTTTTTGTTCTTAATGCGGTGATAATGGCATGGTGCTCTGGGGAGCCCAGGGATGGGGACTGGCCTCAGCCTTGGCAGCAGCAGGGTTTCTGTGCGAGGGAAAGGCCTTTCCCTACAGCGGGTGAAATCCTCGCCTCCCCGAACGTAGCAGCACGTAGCAGCGCTTCTGCCCTCGCTTCATTAGGGCCGGGGTTCCACTGGCCTCCCGGCCTGACGGGCTGTTTTACTGCGTGTGACTCCACAGACCAGGATGCTGCGATCTTGGCCCGAGAAGGGACCCCATGGTCTCGTTATTTCAGGGATACGGGAGGGCGCTCCAGCTAGAAGCCCGTCCGCAGTGTTTCCATGATTTGTTTATATTCTTAGCCGGCTGAGCTGCCAGGATGTCAGCACATCCACATGGGCCAAGTGATGGGTCAGTATGGTATTTCACTGTTTCCCTGAGGTCTTCATGGGGATAAGGGCATGCTAGAGTTTTAACACACGCCTCTAAGAAAAAATTGCATCTAGACAAACTGTTCTGGCAAATCTTTGCTGGTTTTGGAAAAGCATGGAACACAAGAAATTAAAGCCCCTTTCATCAGTCTCTCAGCTCCTATAAACCAGTGTGCAGCTGAGAGGCTTCTCCAAAGCCTTTGATGCAACATGAAATGCATCTTGATACTTTATCTCTACTGTTTCCATATTGTGTTCATTGGCTTATACCTCAACTGCATTTTTAATTTCTAAAGTTATTTTTAGAATCAGTGTCTCATATAAGAATGTTACTACAGCTATTGCTGAATGTTACTGTATTGCTGCTGCAAAATTTCCAGTGATCTGTTAAAAATCAGGATTCATAATGCAAGATCCAGATTTTGATTTCTATTTGAAAATAAAATATAACATTTTCTTTCTGCCCTTCTCTAGTCTTCAACACAAGTAAGGAAAAACCTGGGATCCTGAATAAATTCCAGTGTTTTGTTATTAAACCAAGAAAAGAAACCCAATAATTTTTGAATTATCTGTTACAGACATGTTTACATTATGAATCTCTTAACTTGAGACTCTGTGTGCTATAGAGTTCTAATTTTATCCAGTGACAAGAGCAAGAAAAAATACAAGAATATATATACTCAAGCTGTTGAAAGCACAGTTGTATAGAGATCATAGAGAAATAGTGCTAAAAAGTTAATATTGAATTGCATATTTCATTGTCCTTAAAGAATTTGTCTTCATCATTTTTCTTGAGACAGTGGTAACAGCAAAATGCATCTGAGTCATGTGAACAGTTGTTGATTTTGGAACACTGTTATTTTTTAGTTCCTTTTCTCATTTTATTTTTAGAAAAAAAAAAAAAAAAAAAAAAAAGCCCAAACCAACAAAACAACACAAAACCATCTGAAGAGGTGAAACATCCCAGTTTCTAGAAAGGATCCAGCTGCGTTAACTATCCAACTGCCTCTTGGAAAAAAAGCATTCTGACAACTGGAGAGCAGATGCAATGTGTGGAGTCAGGGAGGTCAACAAAAACAAATGGAAAAAGAAACCAAGGAAACAAGTGAAAAGAGAAAGTGTATTAGAGTATTGATACAGGATATTAGATCACTCATGACAATATTAAAGTGAATGGAATGAGAAAAAGAAGAATCACCACAGGAGATGACAAAATGTGAGAGAAGAAATCAAATAGATATCAGGGTGGGATTTAGATCTTGCCATTCTAGACTGAACCCAGGGTAAATCTTGCTTCCACTGATATCACAACAATTTTATATAGCGGAGCTAAAAGCTGTCCTGAGAAGCGATGCAGAACCACTGCCCCGGGTGGGACATTGGCTCCTAAATTGGACGCGGGCTGGGCTGGGCCCTGGACAGGCTGGGTGCTGCCCGTCTGCTGCAAACACGGGGAGAAACCCGGGCAGCGGCGAGGGAAGGGGCCAGCAGCCGCGAGAGCCGGGGCTGCGGGGGGCACAGACACATCAGGGAGGGCCGGAGAGGCTGCTAGGGTCGACCCCCGGCCCCTTGCCCGTCCCGTCCCCATCCCCAGGCTACGGCCGGCCCGGGCTTCCCTCTTCCCTCCCGCTCCGGCTTTTCAGAGTTTATTTATTTATTTTCTCTCCTTGCGGCAATGAAACGTATAGGGAAGGGGGTGGGGGGTGGTGTTGGAAATAACAACAACAGCGAAAAAAAAAAAAAAAAGCAGCGAGGGAGAAAAGGGCTTTCCGTGACCTCACCAAAATCAAAGCCCGCAAGCTGACAAGTTTTCTTTCTCGGGAGGGCGCAGACGGCTTCCCAGCCTGCCGGGGGTGCTCGCCCCCGCCCCGCCCCGCCCCGCTCCGCACCGCCCAGCACCGCACCGCACCGCACCGCGCCGGGCCGGGCCGGGCCGGGCCGGGCCGCTCCGCACCCTCCTCCTCCGGGTCCTCCCCGGTGCGAGCGGCGGAGCCGGTCCCGGGAAGCGACTCGTGACAGCAAACGGTTGTGGCCAGATGTTCCGCTTTACTGGCCCTGTGACACGCGGCATGGACTTGGCAGGCTGGATTTCAAAGAAAAGGGAGTTGTTGTTTATTTTTTTTTTTTTTTAGAAAAAAAAAAAAAAAAAAAAAGCAGAAAACACTAAGTTAGAACGCACACGCCGAGGTTTCCCCAGTCCCTGGGCAGGCAGCTGGGCAGGCGAGTGAGTGCGCTGGAAAGCCACGCCGCAAACTGGGACGGCTCCGCCGTCCCGGACGCGCCTTTCTCGAAAGTAACAAATTTCAGAGAGTGTAAAGCAAGCGGGCGACGGAACAAACAAACCAGAGGGCCTCAGACCTTCTTTCCCCCCCCCTTTCCCTTTACAAAAATTACATATGTTAGCAAATCGGCACATAGAGAGCCTCTCCACCCCTTCTCTCCCTCTCTCCTCCCCCCGCCCCCGGCGCACGCTTCCCCAAACACTCCTCGCTTTGCGTCCCGCACCTACGCGGTCCTGGCTGCGGGGTGAGAAGCCAAGGCAGGACCCCCGGGCCCTGAGACCCGAGGAGGCCACCTGCGAGGGGCCGGGGGGGTGGTGGCCGGGCCCCGGCCCCGTCCCGCCGGGCCCCGGCGTTCCCTAGCTCGCCTCCTGCCTGCCGCAGCCGTCCAGGAGCTCGGTCATGAAGGAGATGTACACTATGGCCAGGCGCAAGGTCTCTATCCGGGAGAGCCTCTTCTCGTAGGCGAAGGTGGGCACCTTCTTCCTCAGCTGGTCAAACGCCTCGTTGAGGTTGAACATCCTCTTCCTCTCCCGGATGTTGGCAGCCTGGCGCTGGGCGTAGGTGATAACTCGCTTTCTCCTGGGTCTGTCCAGGAGGGAAGAGCTGCGCGTCCTCTCCTCTTCCTCCTCCTCTTCCTCGTCTTCGGGATCTCCATCTCCGAAGGCAGCCAGGGGCAGCCCCCGCGCCATCCCCTCCCGGAGCGACAGGACTCTGTCCCCGAAGGGAGGCCCGGAGGTGACCTCGCAGAGCCCCAGGCTCGGCCCGACCCGGGGGGGGCCCTGGGGGGCGCCCAGGGAGAGGTCGGCCACGAAATCCAGCACCGAGGTGCCCAGCAGCCCCTCCGGGCAGGGCACTTGCGGGGCTCTGCCGTGCAGCTCATCCAGCAGCCCCGGGCACTGGTGGGCTGGGAAGAGGCTGGCTGACATCTTACTTCGGAGAGGGCTTAATCTGGTCCCCCATCCCCAGCCCCAGCGGCGTTAATATTTATAACCCCCCGGGTAACAGGATTAGCAGGACTAGAAAGAGCGGCTGTAAAATTTTTCGCCGTGATGCTGATGAGAGGAGACAGGCAGCCCCCTCGGGGACGCGTGGATGCTCCCGAGAGAGGAGTCCCCAGCGAGTCAATCCTGTCACAGCGATCAAGGACAGTTCCTTCTTGGCAAAACCCTCCGCTCTTACCTGCTGAGCACTTTTGTCTCTTCTTACACACCCGCAACCAAACGATTTTCAGCCTCTTTAAAGCCCGCAGCCGCAGAGCCGGGTCTCCACTGGGCTTGCTTTCCTGCTTTCTTTCGGGATCTCTGAACCCTGAGAGCCAGCCTGACAATTGATGTCAGGCAAGTGCATGTATGCTTTTAATGATGTCCTGAAGAGGGGACCTGCACGCAAAGGGTCACCAGGGAATGTTTACCCTGTATCCCAGCGCAATGGGAGCTGAATGACAGGACCTCCATTAGCCTAAGTAAGCATTGTAGGGGACCCGATATTGCATTCCCAGTAGTAACTGTTGGAATCGTCCCTGCATTCCCCCTAAATCGCCTTCAACTAGAGTTCAAACATCTTTCCAGTAAAAGGCTGTTTCGTAAAGCTCATTTAGGTTCACACAATCTCAAAGCACTTGCTTTGAAACTCCTTCCTCCCGCCCGTGAGAAGAGGATAAACTGGTCCTGGTCAGGGCAGCGGTTGTTCTTACGCCTTACATATGCATACACCTTACCGGCCACCGGAGGTGCGCAGAGGAATCCCCCTGACTGCCCGCACTGATAACGCTGGCTACGGAGCTCAAAACGCCGTGAAATGCCTGTAAACACACCCGCACGCCCGACACTGCTGAATACCTTTATTTGATCAAGGTTCCCTTGGGGACTGACGTCGGGGATTGTTTTGCTTTTGCCTTGGGAGGCTGGAAGACCTTAGGGGTTGTGTCTTCACCCTCCCACACCATAGACTTGTCTCTAAACAAACAGCCTGGCCCTGGCAATCCGTGGCAGTGTTAGACACACCCAGGTTGAATCGGATCGATTTCCTTTGGCACGCGATTTGCGCACACCGCTCGTTTAGGAGTGGCTGCCCATTACTCTTGCGCTGCCTTCTTAAAGCCTAATCTTCGCCTTTGTCATGCGTTGGTGCCACTCTCGCTTTGGGGCTAATTAGTCTCTAATTTCTAAGGGGGATTCCAAAGCCCATCGGAACAAAGGAGGCGGGTGGGGGCGGCCGAAGGATCCCGCTCCCCTAAACCCCCTCCTGTTTGCCCACAGGACCGCGGATTTTTCCGACCGCGGTGCGGGATCTGCCGTCGCTTACAACACAGCGAGCGAGCCACGCACCCCCCTTTTCCCGGGAAAGATGCCGCGGGAAAGACATTTCTCCTCCCCCCCCACCCCAGCTCCCCCCTCCGCCCCCCATCCCCGGCTCCGCGGCTGGCGGATGGGCGGGCAGGAGCTGCGCGGAGGGCTGCGGAAGGTGCGCGGGAGCGGAGCTACGCTGGACAGCTCCGGCGCGGGGGGCAGCGGCCCCCGCCCGCCCCCCCGAGCCCGGCCCCGTCCTGTCCCCCCGCCACGGCGGCGGGAACCGTGTCCGCTGTGGGGAGTTAACGGCAAACCCGAGGGGAAATAAAGGGCGAACGGCGAGGGGGTTCTTAGGTTTCGCGGCGAACAGGGAGAGCCTCGCTGAGGGACGCGCTTATTGAGGACAAACACCCTTCATTAAAACACCTGGTGAATGAACTAATAAGGCAAAGAGCAGCTGTGAAACAGCCGTCAAGAGAAGTGCTGACTAGGGAGCGTCCACAAGCAACAGCCGGTTGAAGAGCTCTGAGTGCTAAGTGTTAAATAAAAACGCTCGATGCACGAAAGATCAGATAAATATTTATGATCGATCCGCAGAGGAATGCAACTTATTGGAGCTCCTTTTAGGTGAAGTGGCAAGTATTTGGTTTATAGACGTGGAGGTATAAATTAAGGACGAACGCCAGCAAAGATGGGGCGCCACGGGGTACAAAATTATTGGGGAAATACAAATACTTCAGGCAATGAAATAAATTAATAGGAAAATGGGAATTCGTCAGCTCTGTGTCGGTCTTCACACGGATTTCCCGCCGTGGGAGAAACCGGCGTTTAGAAGAGGACAGAGCAGCCCTTCACCCCGGTCTCTTCAGAAAGAAACTCTTGCTCACATCTGTAGTTTCAAATTTTTGCAGGACACGAACTACAAAGACAACCGGAACCAGAAGCGTTTTATACTGCAAGAACACAAAGGGAGAAGGCTGTTGAGTCAGTATTGCATCACGAAGCGGGATAACATAAAACATAAAAGATTAATGCAGGGTGTGCCCGTCACCGAATCCTTAAAGGAAGCACTACAGTAAGGGCTAAGGCAGGACTGGGAGGTCCTAGCAGAAAATGAAGACTTGTAGCCAAGGTGAATCCCCCTGTCAAACCGATTTTTTAATAGTTGCTTTCTTTCTTGTTTTTTAACTTGTACTTTTTTTTTGCTAAAGTATTGGGTTTTTTTTTTCTCTTATATTAACTATTTTAAATTATGTATAATAAGCACACATATCCACATAATAATGAACTGTGATCTGAGGCATGCTTTTGAACATTTTTTCGAATTTGGTGATTTTTTACCCCATTGGGGAAAGCATGGAGCTGAGGAAATGCATAACGAATATCCATGCTGCAGAGGACAGGTTTTCAGTGCATAGATAATGCAACAATGTAAAGGTAGCCGGATGAACTCTCTTGAGAGGCTGCTTTATACTCTGAAATCTTCTCAGACCAGATTAGGTGCTCAAAAATCTGGTCTAGATTTGTTTTAAGTAAAAATACAGTCTGCTCTAAGGTTGTTTACCTGCCTTCACCCACTTCTTATCCTACCTTTTTATTTCACTTAGCACAGAAATTAGGCTCACAAGATGCTTACAGATGCTGAGCACTGATGGCTACTTCTTCAAGTCACTCTGCAACTATTTACATAATTATTTTTCTTCAGAAATATCTATGATATGATTTTTGATAATGTTGAAAATCAATGTCTCTTAACAAATCCAATGTCCTTTGTGCTAGCAGGTACAAGAATGTACATATTAGTTCACTGTACTTCCGTGGAAAAAGTTTTATTCCTTTTATAATCCTGCATGCTAAGTCTCTGTGTGGGTAATTTTCCACATTATCACAGAGCAAAAGGCAGCCACTCTGATGGCTTAGCATTACTGACTGAGAAGTTATAGATTTTAACAGTTACCTGTACATTACTGGAAAATTCACTGGAAGTCAGTGACGATCATGGGATGCTGAAATAAGGGGGCACTCTCCATCAAACATGACTCTGCAAACAAGTAGCTGAAAGTTGCTGTCTACTCTAGAAACCATAGAAAGATATACAACTGAAATGTCTTGTAAAATTGGAAATTATTCTCCCCTTTAATTGATCCATTAATAGCCAGAGAGTTGCTACCATTCTCAAGCTCTGGCCTGAATAACAGAAACAGACATTGTGTGTAGTGGACTAATGCTGTCTCTCTCAATTTACTGACATTGCAACTGTCTGATCTTCTTGTTAAGCCTTAAAATTACAGTAATGTCCATGGGTCAGGACCTCAGTATCTCAGAACACAGGGCCGTTCCTGCCCTACTGAGCTTGCAGTTTCTGTTCCTGACAGGCCAGATCAGATCAGATCATTGCAGTATATATATATATGGAGACAGGGTGAACTGGCAAGGGAATGGGCCGAGTTTGGACAATATCCTAGCTTGATACATGCTCAGTCAGTGGTGGAGAGGAAGGGACTATGGTTTAACACTGATGAATTAATACAAAAAAGAAGTATTTAAGCAAAGCTAGCCGAAGATTGGATATTTGGACACGAGAAGAATGTAGCAGTTTTCAGATGAAAGCAGAGCAAAATGGGGTTGAATGTGGTATCACTGGAAAGGTAAAGGAGACCTCTGGTGTCTCAATGCATTATGAGATCATATAGGCAGGGAACATAGAACCGTGACAGAGTTTCTGTTCAAAGAGCTTATGTCCGAGTCATTTGTTAAGCTGAAGGAGGCCAAACAAAAAGTATTAGATGAACTGGTCAGTACTGTTTTGAGTGGCTTGCAATGAAACCAGAAAGGAGGAGACTTCCGAAGTCAAAGCTAATGTAGATGAGAGAAAACAGTGACTTGGTGGCTGAAACAGCTGGAAAGCCTTTGATATGTTGGAGATAGGTGAGGTGTACGGAGATGAGGACAAGGCTATCTGACTTCTGCAGGTCTCACATGCTGAAAGAATTGACTGACTACAACAGTTAAGAAAAATAAAATGGATACTAGAAAAGGGCTCATCTAGCTGCTGGATCTTATGCAAATATCAGGATCTCATGCAGACACTCTGGGTCCTGCAGAGATGTGAGCACCTGTATTGGACTCTGCAGTCCACTTAAGTCTGTCTGCCCCGGTGGACCATCTAAGGAGCCTGGAGATACTGGCTTATAAGTCAGATAACTTCAATTCTGTGGAATGAACCTTGGTTCTAGAATTAGCAATTTATGAATAAACGAAAAACAAAATCCAGTAAGTTATATATCCAGAGTATATGGGCAAAGAAAACTGAATATATTTGGGTGCAATGACTAGAATTTGAGTCTGTAAGAATTCTCTGCAACTGTTTTTCCCCCAAACACTTTATATGTATAGACATTACAAGAATTAACTTTATTCCTTATATTGATGATATACGTGAGTACCCTCTGCTCACAAAACAGGTGAAGTCCAGCGTACCAGTCCAGCATTGGAACCAGTTCTATTCTTAAAACCAGAATATATCCAGTGAAACCAAAACATTTACAGTGTGGCCCCAGAAGTAATTTCAGGCACTGATCCTATGTGCATCTGACTGTGCGAATGCTTCTTGCATCACAGCCTGTCTTTAACAGGACTCCAATTTGAATTCAAGCA